GTCCTCGATCCTTCGAACCTCGATCCTCGATTCCTCGATCGTTGATCCTCGAAGCTCGGGGCGGCCGAGGCCGCTCGCTCTCTCTCGGTCGCTCTCTCCGTCACGGTCATGCCGTCGACGGCGGGCGGGCGGGGGCGGGCAGCCGAGCGGGGCGGCGCGACACGACCTCTCTCGCCCCCCATCTCCTCCCCCCCTTGCACCCCCTCCCCCTCCTTCACCTAAGTGAAAAAAAAACATCAGAATTCTAAGGTTTCGACCCGCCCCCAGGGTTTTCGGGCGCTGTTTGCCTTTTTTTCGGGTCCCTGCAGGGGGTGCTCGTCGTCGCCACGGCTGGATCCGCCTCGAAATCCTGCTCAAATGTTAGCTAGCGTGACCCCGAACTGTGAGTTATTGCATTGTGGAGTTGAAAGCGATGCGGTGTAAGCTATGTGGTATAAGCTATGTTGTGCAAGCTATGCGGTGTGAGCTTTGTGGTGAAAGCGATGCGGTGCAAGCTATGAGGAGCAAACCCACCCGCTTTGCTCTCGGCTTGCACGGATAGTACATTGGTGCACGCGGACGGCACACGGACACCTCCCCCCTTCGTCGTCGTCGGCGTCGTCGGCGTCGGCGACGGCGACGGCGACGATGATGACGACGTGGAGGCCCCGAGAGGGCCCATACCATCGGACGTTAAGTAGGTTAGCGGCAATTTGCTAACCTGGTTAGCCGAAGTAGGCTAAGTGGATAACCTGGTTAGGCGAAAACGGATAGCCAACATAGGATAACCTGTATGCAACTGACTTAGTTAACCTACTTATACGAGCACAGTGTAACCAATGTACTATCCGCGCTAACCGAGAGCAAAGCAGGGCGACGATCGCAGTGCCTGCCGAAACCCAAGAGCCCCCAAACAAACAAAAAAACAGGGCTGACAGCAGTGTGGCTGTTGTGTGGCTGTTTTGCAGTGTATACGTTGCTCGCCTTGTCGTCCTCCGGAGCCTCGGAGTCCTCCCAGGAGGTGCCCAAGGGAGGGCCGGGAGGGCCTCCAAGCCCCAAGGAGGGGCCCGTGAGGCCCACAAGACGGCCCAAGAGGAGGGGAGGGGGACGAGGGAGGAAGGACGGAGGACGAAGAGGGGAGAGGGATGAGCAGGGAAGAGGAGGAGGAGGAGGCCGAGGAGAGAAAGGAGCAGGAGGAGGAGGAGGAAGAGGAGGCGGAGGAGATGTGAAGACACTCAAATCCTAGAATTAAAGTCCGCTCAACATCAACAAACCGGAGGAGGGAGGGGAGGAGGGAGGGAGGAGGAG